ACCACCTCCAGTTACCATACACAAGTTATCAGTGCCAACCATGATGACATCAGTAATCTCTCCAAATCACTCTGAATTCTTTCGTTCATTTGAGAAGGGATCCGAGTAGTGGATGGCACAGCATTATGGGTCACCAGAGGACGGTTTCTTTTTGAAGGTCCACAAAGATCTTTCTTTCTTTGCACAATGTGTACTTCACCTTCTCAGGGGAGATAATAAGCAGCAAACAGACCCTTGGTGTCATAGATCAGAAAGCAAATTATCTTCGGTCAGTGCCAAGGACATCCATAATTACGTCAGGTTGGACCTTGCCATCAAACTTAATGAGCCACATACATATTTTTTTTTTTTCCATTTAAAGATATTATCTTAATAGATATAATTCTCCAAAGAACTATAACTTTTTGGTCTTTCACCATCGTTATTAAATCCTTTGCTAACAGCTCTTTCCACCACTGTTCTGTCAGTTTGTAAATACTGTGATGCTGGAAGCTATGCCACCGACAGTTTTAACACCAGCAGCGTCATCCATGGTGGGCCGTTTCCGCAGAGCCTCCAGACTAAGACTAGTAAAGGAGAGCTGGACTACTTCTGAATGTTCAGACACTGAAAACCATATGAAGAGCAGTGGAGGGGCATTCTCACTTGAGAGGACAAGCAGACCAGTCTGGAACAGCCAGAGGAACAGAAATACTTCTTGAAAGAAAGACCAGTAGGAAAAGTAAAAATACAAAACAACATGGCAGTCTGATTGGCTACTACAAGGACAACCAAGTTGTTTGCCGGAGAGCCATCAAGTCCCTTTAGGACATACCTCCCTCCAAGACTGAAACTCAAAGGGAACACATGAGCAGGCATGGAAGACCATGGTGTTCTACTGGTGACTGGAAGTAGGGGGAAAGCAGCAATGAAGAAATGGGCTGAGTTCAACCATGTTCCATAGACTCCCCCCACCACCCACCATCGACCTGGAAATGAGAGAAGAGGAAGGGCTGGTTGGTCCAAAGTGTGGTGAGATCTGGGGACTCTAGGGCCTATGGACAAGGATAGCCATGGAGGGCTAGAGTTGAGAGTGAAGCATCCAGCTGATATAAAGTGAGGGGAGATGCACAAGAACGCCCAACCTTGCAGATTGTACCCATTTGACCTGACCTAGCTTCGAAAGTTTGATGATAACAACTTGACTAAACAAGATTTAAAAAAAATTTTTTGATAAAGGAAACAAGTGTAAATTGCTTCAATTTGATGAACTTGACTTATACATATGGATGTTGTTGTTGTTGTTGTTGTTAAGTGCCTTCGAGTCAGTTCCGACCCATAGCGACCTTGTACAGGGTTTCCGAGGGTGTAAATCCTTACAGGAGTAGAAAGCCGCATCTTTCTCCCGCGGAGCAGCTGGTAGTTTCGAACCGCTGACCTTAACATTCGCAGCCCGATTCATAACCACTACGCTACCAGAACTCCTTACATATGGATGTAGTAACTCAAAATATCAACTGAGAGGGAAGGAGTCTTCACATCAAGTATCAATCCTATACCTTCTGTATACAGGGTTGATAGGGATGAGCAATTTAGACATTGGCTACCTAAAACGGGTGTGTGTGTAATAAAGGCTCCAAGTGACTGGTTTACAAGTTTTCAAGAGTGAGTTTAGTTTCAAAGTGTGCAGGAGAGAAGGTAGAAGAATCCCACTGAATCGTTTTCATCTTGTCTAGATGGGTCTGGTGAAAGGAGATGGGGATAAGATTCTTATGATTCAATAGTAATTGTTATCATGAGTAACTGAATTTGTCACAACTATAAAGGTAGAAGTTTTGTAACATAAAGGGGGGAGTAGTTAATCTTACAATCCAGGAAAAGAGGACTTTAGGACCATCAAGGAAGAAGAGCATGTGCAAGATGCAGGACCCTATCCAGAGAAAAAGCAACACCAGAGATGGAGGCAGAGATGAGGACAGAGAGAGAGGGAGCAGCTGAGGACTCTAGACTCATGGAAAGAGAAAGGCCGTATGCTGGCAACCAGGAAGCAGGCTTGCATAATGTGCTCTTTGGTTGTTTAAATAATTATATATTCAGGTGTTTCTGTGTACATCTCAAAAACACAAAAACAAAAAACAGAGGGGAATGGAAGCAAATACTGTTGAATGATGATGCACGGAGGAGATTGTAATCATTGCAATGAAACGACGAGTATAAAACCAGTGTTCTTCCATATCACTCAACTCACAATAAAAACTTCAAACAAACAAAACAGAAGATGGAAGGAATACAGTCACTCTACCAAAATGCAACGGTAGATGCATAACCATTTCGAAAGGTAGCGTGTGTATCAAGAACAAATAACAGCACTGTGAGACTGCTTTACTAAGTTGTATATATTTAAATCACTTGATATGAGTTACCTGCAAGTCTCTCACTTTCAATACGTAAATGAGGGAAACTGGGACAAACACGGGTCCCTCACATATCACTGCAAAAATACCAGCTAAAAAATAGCCACATATGCATATTTTTGAGAAAAAAAGAGTATGTCTACAAAATAATTAAGGGATCCTCAATAGGAAAATATTAATGCTTTTCTTTTTTTTTTTTCTATATATTTATTTTCTAAAAATAAAAATAATTGTGTTCTGAAAGTATGTAAACAATTCTAAATTCTCAGGATGTGGAGTTCCACTCAAGGGCCTAGAACAGTAAGCCACTGAAACTGATGTCGTTGAGCTGATTTTGACTCATGACAAGCCCTGTTCAAACCCAGAGTAGAACTGCATTACAAATGTGTTATGAATTGTGCCTCTCTGCCTCTTAAATGTTAAGTGTTGTCGAGACAGTCCCAACTCATAGCGATTGTGGATAGGATTTCTCAGGAGTAACTGGTGAATTTGAACAGCTGACCATGCAGTTTAAACAGATCTTGAGGTCCAGTGCTTATCCAGAGCACCACGAGACGACTTAAAAATGTGTGTTGTTAAATTCGGACTTTTTATACTTGTGGTTATAATCCCATTGGGAATGAATTGCCTTTCTTATATTAATAAGGCCAGATTAGTGTTATTATTCCAAAAGGAA